CGTGCACGCCTCGCCCGTGCTATTTCCATTCACACGCATATTGTAAGCTCATACTCTCGTGACGGTCATTTGCCTAATCCTACTTGCCATGCATCGTCAAGCTTTCCTGTATCCCGCTTCGCCTTAGCATAGTCATTCTACGTTCAGCAAGCGACCTGAACCCGTCTCCAAGCTATCCCACCCACCCACTACCACATAATTTAAGCATTCAAATCCTGCATCATTCTGTATTACATTTCTACATTATTTCAATAAAGTTAAGGGGGGGTTGTCATCGCAGTGCATGCGGGCACCACTTGATTAACACGCTGCCATTCTTCGTGAATAGAGTCAAACATGCGACTCTGTGCACGGAAACGTCAATTGGACAAGTTTAGTAAACCAATATGTTGTTTCCAATACGAATATTAAAAAAAGTGATAGTTTCCTTGCCTTTTCCAATCTGACTAGTATTTGGCTTTCTGGTAATGAAGTGAAAATAAAGTCATACCATGCCATGGTCTGCCCACCCACAGAGCAAGCCATGTGTAGTTTAACTATGTTTATTTTGCTTGTATATATTACTGTGCTATTATCCCAGATTTGTTTTTGCATCAAATCTTTGTCAAATCATTCTAGAACTATGTTGAGAATAAAGCTACATCAGAACAACATTTGAAGACAGTGATGACTGGACAGGTAGAGTCTGGCATTGAAGACTTGAAAAAAGCATTTAAATTAAGAGAACAGCAACTAAGTACAGCGGCCAAGACTTTTAAACAACAAACAGAGAAGGTTGCAGTAAGACATGAAGAATTATTGGTAGCTTACAGGTAATACACTAAATGTGTTGAAACATATTTGGTATATAACACTTGTGTAAAGATAAACAGTAACAAGCGCCCTCTATGTTTAGAAATGTGTTTTAACTCTTACACCATATGTGTATATGTGACTAATTTGTTTCTTAACTACTTTCAAATCATAAAAAAGTAGAGCCATCTGCTATTATACATTTCAAAGCCATTTTACATTTACACTATCTAGACATTACTTCCTGTTATTTACAGATATTTGAGAGAACAGATTTCTTCAAAGCACATAGTTGATATTGATTTAGGATTGGATGAGTACCACCTGTCACTGCCACTTCATGAATTGGAATCAGAAAATAGAAGAGAGATAAATAGATTAAAAGATGAAATAGAGAAAGTCAAAGCGATGAGTTCTGTGCCGCTGCCTCCAGCTGAAAGGTACATCTTGTTATATTACATCATGTCAACTGCTTCAAAATTTTAGCACAAAATCAATTTCTTTAATTTCATGATTCCAGAAAAAAATGTCATTTGTCATTGACTGCATATCTATTATTGGTTATGGGTACCTAATATACAAATTATGTTACCTGGGTCATTTAAAATGTAAATAATCTTAACTGGAAATATACATTACCATGTTTCGATATCGGCCAAACTGTGGCCTTTATTCTCCCTTAAAACACCAAAAACAACATTTCATCAGCAATTTCTCAGATTTGTTTTTGATTTGATTAAAAATGGCAGATTAGTTACCATTTAGTTTTTTTCTCTGTGTCTTTTTTTCTAATCAATTTTGTTGAAGTAGCAGTTATATGCACATTTGTTTCAATGTGTCATTAAATCGATTTTCAGATGTGCCTGGTCTGTTTTCATTCAAAATTGATGTTTAATTATTTAATTATTTATGAAAAAATGTATTTTCAAAGACAGATTATGCTGGTCAATTGATTTCTCATTTCATAATAAAAATTGAATCAATACAATTATTGGGATTTGTTAAATTTGATATTTTTTTTATTGGTTGTCATATTATTAGACTTGAAATATACTTAATTATCAGGCTGTAGAAAATCTATTTGTATTAGCCAACATTTATTATTTAACCACTCCTGGTTGTGGTAGTTTGAAGTAAGCTGGTCCCATATATTACAAACTTGTGACAAATTTAAGATCAGTGAGCAATTAATCTGTGGTTT